GATTTAACTTGTCATAGCACGGTTAGGGCTCGAGCCCCGACACGGTTCATAATGTGGGTTAAACTCTTTGCAAGATGGAAGTTTTCTGTTGTGATTTGTTGTGTTTGCACCTTGTGATCAGACTTTGATTCAGCAGGTGCTGGGTCTCTGCCTCCTCCGTCCACATCTTCTGAATCCACTCTTAACGTTTATCAACATTTACTCAGAAAGGGCAGTTACTTTATTTCTGTTTGCTTAAAGGTCAGATAAGTTAATGGGCACAGTGCCAGAGCCAGTATGGCAAACATATAAGTTATCTTTTTAGAATCAAGATGGTTATTTTGTGTGTTTGTGTGCTGTAATAAAATAAGGACGGTTACATTATTATATAGCTAATTACAGTTACAATTAATCCGTTGAGGATTTGTCACTTTTTTGATTGTATGCTGTTGTAAAGTGAACATCTTAAAGCTATGTAAGGAGGATAACCTTTATTGCCAGATCCCCAGGTACAAGGTGCATGTTTGAATTCAGTGAGCAGTCTTAATACAGGTGTTGTCTTTTATGATCAGTTTGGGTAGCTACAAGATTTTCCGTTGTCTGCTTCTTGGAAAAAGAACTTAATTTATTGTATATATGACTGATTTTGACCATGAACCTATGGTCATGAGCTTTGGGTCATGACCGAAAGGCCAAGATCCTGGATACAGGCGGCCGAAATGAGCTTTCTCTGCAGGGCGGCCGGGCGCACCCTTAGAGATAGGGTGAGGAGCTCGGTCACCCGGGAGGAGCTCAGAGTAGAACCGCTGCTCCTCCACATCGAGAGGAGCCAGCTGAGGTGGCCCGGGCATCTGTTTCGGATGCCTCCTGGGCGCCTTCCTAGGGAGGTGTTCCGGGCATGTCCCACCGGGAGGAGGCCCCGGGGAAGACCCAGGACACGCTGGGGGGACTATGTCTCTCGGCTGGCCTGGGAACGCCTTGGCATTCCCCCGGAGGAGCTGGAGGAAGTGTCTGGAGAGAGGGAAGTCTGGGCATCTTTGCTTAGACTGCTGCCCCCGCGACCCGGATGGATGACTGCTTTTGCCAGGTTTTAATGTCTGGTTTTAATGATCTCTTAAGTGAAATATTAATGATGTTTTTTTTTTAAAGATTATTTTCTGTACTTTGCCTTTTATTTGAAAATTAGCCAAAAAGAAACAGGAAATGTAGGAAGAGAGCAGGAGATATGACCTAAGGTCAAAACCACAGATGTTGCAAGTACATAGTTTGTGCCTGGAGCAAAAGGAAACACCCAGCATGTCTACCGAGGTCTTGCTAAAGGACTGTTGACTGTTAAATCATCAGGGACAATGATGGAAGCAGGTAGAGGATGTTATTAATCTGTAGTCTGGCTTTTTTCTTTTTTTTTTTAAAGATTGTTGTAAATAAACCAAACTAAAGTCTGAAATAACTGATGAAAGAAAGTTAATTGGCATGAATTTGAATTATAAAGTTCTTGAATGTGAGGGTTTGTTTTTTTTTTTAATTTGTTGCTATATATCTTTGTAAATTAAGCATATTATGAGGTTTTTTTGACTTGGAAGAAGTCTCTTTACAAAAGTGTTATTATGCAGTCTTTGTATCCACTTTGGGTATTATGGGAGGTGCATGTAATACATTGTCAGTGCAGCTGACTATTTCTGTCACCCTTGTTTTCAGAAGCAGGCACATTCAATGACACCAGCTATGACAGAACACTATCTGACTGGAGTTACAGGGTTAAAAGCCTTAAAGCTGGAGTGCATGTAAGAGCTGAGTTCAGGCCATCCTTTTCAATCAGGCTTTTCTTCATTCCGACACTCACTTTTAACACGCTTGTATGCAAGTGTGAATGCATTGTTTACCCATAAATACTAATTGCTAGTAAATGTAGTATTTATTGATTAAACTCTCAAAAAGTAGGTAGTAGATTTTGAGCACAAATGTTCAGTTGTATGCTTTTGGTTTATGTCCAGAACATGTAACTGTTATTGCAGAAGTTTGCGAGACAAGGGATTTATTTTCTGCTGCTGGAGCATTGCAGGCGGTTTGTGTTGGAAAACAGTGAGTCACAGCTGCACAATGGTGACAACCAGCATCTGCCTGAGGGATCAAAGTCTTGGCAACATAAAATATTCAAGACAGGACACCCAGCCAGAGGCACATGATTGAAACTTGATGACTAAAACATGTTTACATACATGTGGTACGGTCAGATCCTCTGTCGCAACACAAATTTGCGTAGAAGTATTTGCATCTTATTTAAAAAGGCCTGTACTCTTTCTTTCTTTCAGACTATGCGTGTTTTGTCATTCCAGCTATTGAGTCCCATGGCCCCAGGAACTGTCTGATTCTGGATTTGTCAAGCAGGAAGAGTTCAGGTCACCTGGCACATTGTCTTGTGGATACCAAATACAATCAGCCACTCCCAGGTTTTAGAAACCAAGCTTTGCTTCAGAAGGCAAACTGAAAATCGATAAACTGATGTTATTTCCCCACCCTTTCAGGCCCAGTTAGGGAGAGATGAGCTGGGCTGAGGAGGACTGGACAGTGGGCCTGTCAGGACGGGTCCTGCAAAAAGTGAAGGAGCTGCAGGTCCAGCAGGACCGACTGTCCCGAGAGAACAAGCAGAAACAGCTGCAGCTGGATAACATTCATACCAGTCTTTCAAAACAAACTGTGAAGGTACAAGCAGCCGTATTCATTTAATGCTGCTTATGTAGTGCTGTTCTCAGAAAAATTAATTGTTAAACATATTGGAATATTCACAAATGTTACTAAGAAAAACTGAGGTGACAACAAGAGTGTGAAGGTCTTTGGACAAGAATGGGGAAGTCTGATTTATAGAGAAAGACCCATTTTTGTCATTATACTTCAGAGTTGACTGTTGAACTTTAGTTAGGCAAAACATAGTGTATAGATGTGAAACATATTTCTCATTTCAGTCTTGTCACTGGGGGCAACAGTGGTGCGGTGGGTAGAGCAGCCATCTCCCAACCAGAAGGTTGAAGGTTTGAGTCTCGGTGCCTGCAGTCCACATGTCGAAGTGTCCTTGGACAAGACACTGAACCCCCAAGTTGTCCGTGATGGCGGCGTGTATGCACGCAGCGGCCTGGGGCCCTCGGCTCCAAAACAAAACTTTGTTGTACATGTTACAATAAAACAAAGCTTCTTATTCCTTTAAAAATGTTCTTGTGAAGCTAGGTAAAGATGAAGTCTGTGTACCTGTTGAAAGGTTATATTGCATAGTACTGGAGTATAGTGTGCCCTGAGACCCACATCCAGTCAGAAAGCATTATGAGTGGATTATATTTTCAATACAACACTATCATTGTGTTTGGCATTACCTATGGTTAGTTTCTTTTTCTTCATTTTATAGCTCTTCAGTAAAAATTGGCAACAACCACATGAGAATTCAGCATTCATAATCTTCATAGCGATGCTGTTAATAAAGCCACATTTTTGTAAATAATATTGATCTGTAAATATTATCATAGTCATCTTAAGCAGAATTGGTTATTTTCAGTTCAGTTCAGTTCAAATATGTAGCTTTCCTACTCCCTTTTCTCTTCCCCTCTCCTTTCTAGTATGACGAGGTGCGTGGTCAGCTCCAGTCCGTGCAGAGGGAGCTCCAGAGTGCTCGAGGGGAGGCCAAGGTGGCAGTGAGCAGCAGTGAGCGCCTGACTCAGGAGCTACAGACTAAGCAGGCCCAAGTATGCTCTTTGGAGGGCCAACTAGATTCTGCTCGTACCATCAACAACAAGCTCACCCAGGAAATCAAAAGGTTAGCACCAGTGGAAATTAAATGGGAAATTTAGCCTCTGTCAGTTCTGTTCTTAATGTGCATGTTGGCTTTTTAATGTCTTCTCATTAAGGACAGCAGAGTTTTGTACTTTGATAGAAAACTAGCTGATATTAAAATTAGAATTATTAGCAAAACTCAAACTTTTTAATCAAATACATAATTTATTATTGGATATTTGTAGAAGATAATACTGAAATAATTGATTCTTAAAGGTTTGTGCAGCATAAAAAAATCAGGATAATTAAGTTTGTCATATTTTACATGTGGAAAGCTGTGAAAGAGGAACATTTATCTCAGTTATTGATGTGACCCAGTAAATAAATGGCCTGTTGTACTTTATGTTGTCTTTCCTGTTACTTTTACTACCTATGGGTTTTACTGGATTCTCAGATGACTTAAAACTATAATCATTCTCAGTGGTGTCATATTAAAATACTAATCACTATTGGACCTTTTTGTTTCTTTTTGATCGTTAACTGTTTCCCTGCCCACATCGAACAGTTTTTCCTCTATCTCTGACAGGCTGGAGGCAGAGCTGGAGAAGTTGTAGAACAGCAGCAGGTCGGCAGATACCAATATGTTCTCTACACCTTGCTGGAATGCAACCTCGCCCTTGGAACACAGCGGTACAGTCCTGTAACTTTATTGCTGTTTTCACATATAAACTCTGGACAGTGTCCAGGCCTGATTCCTTGGACATTGTCCAGAGTTCAAATGAGTTCAGAGTTGCCCTTTCACTCATGTAGTACACAAAAAGTTCAGGTCAGCTGACTCGGACATTTGCATTCTCACATACAGTAGAGCTCCTCCAGGTAATGTCTAGAACAGGGTTCCAGTGCATGGGGGCTTATGACTCCTGTCTTTATCACTGATGGTTTTGTTTCTATCTTGTCATTAATGTACTGTATAATTTGGAAAATTAAACAGCAAACCACAAGAACCCCAAGTGAGCAGATAGGTTTTAAATAAACTCCCATAGCCCCTTAACCTTTCCCAACCACCCACTGTCTGGGGACTGCTGTATCTCTTTTTGCTGTCTTGTCACTAAACCACTTGGGTTTCCACTGCTGTTGCTTCTGTTCAGCTTTGTTGGTTGGATTTAGGTCGTAGGTCCACTTCATATGCTGCATTTTTGCCCTGCAGGGAGCAGAAATGAGGAGAGGCCGGGGCAGTGGGATGAAGGACAGAGCCGGACACTTCACATAAGAGTAAGTACCAGCATGTGCTTATGCTGAGGTAGGCTAGTGCAAGGCCAGTATGGTTTTTAGCTTAAAGCTGTAGTTCTATAGTTGTCAGAATTGCTCATGTCGCATTAGTTACACAGAACTTTTTTATTTTTTTATTCTTTCTTTCACTAATTAAAACAGTGCTGTTGTCAGTCCTCTGTGTTTAACACCAAGCTACACTTTGTTTTGTCAGATAGGTCAAAGGATAAAGATGATATTATTCTAGGTTTTTCTTATTGTCAACAAATCCCATGAAAATATCTAAACCAACACTGTATTTGTCTGCCTCGTAATCCTTTCTGACTTTCCGGGTCATCAGCTCTCCGATGTAAGATGTAAATTTAAATCTTTAAAAATGGGTAACAAGTGTATGCTTTCATTCTTAAAAAAAAAAGGCTGATCAGTATTTTTGGCACACTGTTGAATGTTTTGAATAGTAGGACTGAATGTCTGGATGGACTCAAAAAAAAGCTACAGCTCCTGTGCCAGTTGTAATGTCATACAGAGAACAATGTGGCCCATTGACGGATTTTAATAGTTGGTAGAAGCAGCAAATTATTCCTTGTATTGGTCTGTTCAGGGGATTTGCTAATGATAAGAGCTTAATTTATTATTTTAAGACAAGTTCTTTTTTACTTGTGCATTGCTAAACTCCATCATAATGCTTTTGTTTCCAGTTAAAAAGTAAGAGACAGGAAAAACAGGAATTGCACTTCGAACATGATCTGTGACTTTTTTCTCAACTTTCACACTCTTTTTCTTATGTTCTGAAAGTGTTTGTCCGTAATCACAGATGTGCAAACCATTTCTACTCTTGAAGTATCATCAGTACAACAATGAATCATTATTCAATAATGTTTGTACAATCTGCTAAATGTTCTTTTTACAGTAGTTTGACATCCCGTTCAGGCTCATGCCCTCCTTTTTATTTTTATTTAATTCTTCTCTTCTCCTTCAGCAGCGGCTCCAGTTCTCGGACACCTCCACACCTTTGTTGCCACGACAGCAACACAAGAGTATGCCCCATCGCCACCCGTCTGACCAATCGGAGTCCTTCTCCACTCCTTTAGCTGCATTTCCATGGGAACGTGATGACTCAAAGCCAGCAGCCAGGAGACAGTCTCCATCTTCTCCCCAGGCACCCTGCGCTAATGTCATCAGTCAAGTCCACTCGGAGCGGGGGGTTTGTGGGACGGAGAAGGACCATAGGATGGAGACAGACAGTGAGTTAGTGAGAGTCAAATGGTCACCTTGGTAATATGGCACGACTGAGTCATCGATTTACAGTTTGAAACTGTATACACACACAGCTCATCCTGGCAGCCTGTTTCCTAAAGCTGGATAACAGTATTACACAAGACCTGGATCCAGCATGGACTGAAGTCACCATATTAAGTGACTTATTGACACTATATTTGGTTTTTACTGTGAGACGGATTCTTGATTTCATTGTTAAACAACCTTATGTCAATAACCTTGGGGCCACAGCATCAAGTTACTTACTGTTAGTATTGATTTTTATGTAGTGTGTGAAATATTGGAAGCACTGAAATGATAAGGCTGGTGTTATTTTATATCTTTGTTATTGTCAACAAATCCCATGAAAAGAAGAAAACTAATAATGGGAGTTAGTCTGTCTCCAAAATGAAGATGCAAAATTACAAATAGATCACAAAAACTTTTAAAAAGATGCTTAGTAATTTTCCCTAAAATGACTGAGCAGTAGTTTTTAGCAAATGTTAACCAAACTGGAGCAAAACTACTAAATAAAGCTCAGTGCTCGTATTATCATCATCAACATGGGCACTGTTTCTCTCAAATTAAGTAGTAGGACCACATCATGACGGTGCAGTCAGTACTGGTTGGTAGGATTGATTCGTTAGTTTTGCTGACAATGAGAAAAATAAATAATGCGACTATTGTTAACTTTAAAATGGCTCAAATTGTCATATTAACATCAGGACTTATACACTGACAGATAATAAGCAATTTTACTTTGTCTTGAGTGTAGCTGTTGTTGTGATTTAGAGTTGAGCAATAAGGCCAAATGATGAAATGTTATCTATTTTGGTTTAGTTCTCACTTCTGATGGGACTACCTCAGCAAAATCAGCATAAGTGAAGCTGTGTGATTGTCCTGAATCTCATGTAGTGTGAGTAACCTTAACAACACTGTTACATAAGAGGCTGTGTTGAAATCACTGGCTTGAAGCTCCTCTGCCTGCTCCCAGGCCAGCTCAGTGAATATAGAGTGGCTCTTGGTGCACTTTATAATTGTAATATAACACTCCTCTTTCTCTCAGCTGCTGTTTGTTCAAAGGAAAAAGGGAACCTTTCAGTGTGAACAAATAATTGCTTCTTTCATCTGCTGGGACACAGGGATAGGCGAGATGCAGTGTGCTTTGTTTGCCGGCTCTTGGCTGTAAGAATTTCAGTCACACATATATTTTGCATGATTTTATTCGTATGTGCTTCTTAATGGGGGGTGTATATGGTAAATTTAAAACCTGTAGGTTCTTTTTAGTACAACAAATTATATGTAAAAGACGTGTATGAATATAGACAATACAAAAGATGGCAAAACAAAAAATACAGATGTTCAGTCAAATGAATTTGGTGACAATTATTAATATAGTAACTTGATTGTGTAGCAGCTTTTAAATGAAAAAGTTGAGCAGTGCTGTAAAATTAAAGGAAGAGGACAAACATACTGAACAGACAGAAAATTGATTTTAATGCTGGCTTTGGAAACCAACAGCCTGAGATCCACATGCTTGGTGAAAGTGACGACAGCTGTGTCCGTGAGCTAGTGTGTATGGATTGACCTCATTTGTAGAAACCCCAAATATGTGCTGCTCCTGTGTTGTTGACTCTTGGTTGTTAGTTGTAAGAAATGAAGGAATTCTTGCTGACAATGTCGGTGCTCATTCTGGGGAAAATAGCTAAAAATATATTTTCTAAGTATTCCCTCCTCAGTTCCCTCTCTGTCACTCTCCTCCCACTCAGCCGCCTTTGGCCTATTTAAAGTTGGAAATCCAATATTTATAATGTTTTCCTCATTGGGGGAAGATAGTGGGCAGTAATAGTTTGTAGTACATAAGATAAACCTTTTACAGACACAGGTGCCGTTCTTTAAGGGCTTAGAAAATCAGAGAATGTCTCAAGACCTATTCTTATTTTTAAACAACAACACTCCAACTCTGGATTATTACAGCACAGATTTAAAAACTGTACATGCAATATGTCCACCAGCATTGTAGCTGCTAATCATAACTGGACTTCATGTCCCTCAGGAACTGTTTTCCTGTTGTCTGTTTTCTTAGTCCACCCCTAAGTCCTCCATTGTTGGTTTCAAACTGCATTTAATTATGTTTAGTAATTATTATTAAATTATCATATTAACCAGTATGTCTGTGTATCTGGTTCGTTCACCAGTATCTTTATCAGAAATGCGGAGGTGTGTGTCTTCTTTGGAGGAAGAACTGTCTGTGAAGGCCGGGATGTTGAAGTCGCTTCAGAAAGAAATTGAACAAAGTAAGAAGGAGCTTGCTGCCAAGGAGCTGAGCCTGCAGAGAGCTCACAATGAGATCAGCCAGGGACACACACGCATGGCCCAGGAGAGGGAACGGGTAAAAACACAAACTACTATTGCTACTGATACTACTGGTGCTACTACTACCAAACACAAATGTGTTTCCTGTCATTGCTAGTATTCTGCTTTCCTGAAGTTCTGTTGTTTTTGTCACAGAATGGGTGTTGGCCTCATGTCAAAACAGTGTTGGTTGATTTGCTTGAAAATGTCAGACATGTCGGGAATATTTACTTGTTACACAGTTATTTTCATGGACATTGAGCCCTTGTTCTGTTCTGTACTATACTGTAAAACAGGTGGAGAGCCTGGGATGGACTGCCAGTTCCCCTGTTAATTGTTTAATTTGTTACTAGTAGCTGTACTGAGCTCTCATAATTTAATGCTTTCCTGATGTGAGAATGTCAAATGCAGAACCTTGAACAGCATTATAAGATTAATATGCAGCGAACAAACAAGATAAATAAAGAACAACATAACACCGTGTTAAAACTTCACAAAAGAGATGTGACTTGTATAGGCCTACAGTTAGTCATGGACATATACATTCAAAGCTCATGAAGTTATGAACACAAAAAGTAATTTTATTGCTGTTAAAGAGTGTACGCTGTGTGTGTCTGGGCATGTCAGGTATCAGGAGCTGAGCAAAAGCTGAAGCAGCTACAAGAGGAGCTTAAGTGTCAGAGGCAAAATGCTGAGAGCAGCCGACTGCAACACCAACAGCGCACTAAGGAGCTGGAGAAAGAGCATCAGAAGGTGAAAGGCAGATGGATGGATGATCAGATGAAAGACTGAGAGAACCAAAAGAAGATGCATGGAGAAACAACTTTAGGAAACAGGAGAAATTTTCAGATTTGTGTCCAGCTTGCTTTTTGTGATGTTCTCTCCTTAAAAAAATTAGTGGCACAGTAGAGCTGAAGATAGTGGCTCAGGTTTTGTTGTGTGCGTGTGTGTTGCCTTCAGGAATTGATGGAGTTTCAGAAGGAGAGGCAGTGTCTGGAGAGACAGCATCAGCAAGAGATGAACAAGCTCAACCAGGAGCTCCAGCAAGCTAGGGTGCTCCACAATGCCCTGCAGGCCCAAGCTGATAAGGTAAACGCATGCACAAGGTACACGTGTAGACACATGAACAAGGCAAACAAGCCTTTGGATGTTCATACGAATACATTTGGCAAGATAAAACCTGTAAATCAAATCTGAATCAACACCAGAAACTTAGGAATAAAATGTTCTGTTAACGTTGATTATGCTTTGCTTCATATTTCTGGTTTGTTCTTTCGGCTGTTTCCTGTTTCTCTTGTTTGTTTTCTTTGTCTCTGTCCCTTTCTCTGTTTCTCTTGGGACTTTATATTACAAGGTCAATAAACTTATCTCGGTCTTTCTCCCACACTTGATTCTTGCCCTTGTTGTTCTCTCTTGCTCTCTGTTTCACTCTCTTGCTGTATTTTCCTTTTTTTCCTCCCCTCTCCACCTGCTTTCTACACTTCGTCCTCCTATCCTCTTGGTTTCTCCCCAGTGGAAAGGTTGAGCAGCGAAGGTAATGACAGTGTGACTGCATTTGATAGTGGGGAATGCTTTGGTTATGGAAGCATGAAACAAACTCATAACTCCTAACCTGTGTGTGAGGCATAGATCTGTTAAAATGCGACAGTGTGGCCGTATGATGTGGGTGAAGATGTTTTTATATGAAGGTATGTGTTTGAGGCGGGTTGCATGAACACAGAGGGGGAGGAATGTGTGTTTGCTTGAAGATATGGTATTGAACCACCTTCTTTTTTTATTTGGATTTCTTCTATATGAAGGAATGCGCTGGTATTTATTTTTATCAGCAGAATGATAATCCAAATTTCAGTCTCAGCACAAGAGGGAGCCTCTTGACTTGTACAGAAAAACCATCCTTGACCTTAATTCCAAACACTTTTAGACATAATAGACGAATTCCTAAAAATGAGCCTTCATTTTGCCCACAGTGTCCCTTTAACCATACTGTAAACCCTTTATTCTCCACACAGATTTTATTTTGTTATATCTGATAAGGTATCTTAAGTGTAAATACACAATAGAGGCACAGTTTGTGCTGAATTAAATAACATAGAAAATCATTGACATTCAACTGCTGATAGTATGACCCAAGTGACCTATTTTATGACCAGTTTATGCACATGTAGTTTCACACGTGTAACCCCGTAGAAAATTTTATAGATTCTCTTTTAGATATTTGAACGCAGTAAATAAATAAAAGTATTGTTGAACAGCAAACCTGAAGAAACGTGCATAAATTCACTCATAAAACAGGAAAAACCAGTAAATTCCTATACAATTGTTTTCACAAAAAACTCAAAATGATCTGCTGATTTGATTGGCATGTGGGCAAAATTTATAAAGTGTTGACTTGCTGGAGGAAATACCACAAATTACTACCTAGTAATACTTAGTAATACTTCTCAATAATAATGATCTACTTCCTGAGGAAAGCATAAAGTTACAGCTTTAATTTGTTAAATGATGTCCTGGCCTTACTAAGAATTATTGGGCCAATAAATGCTCTGGAAGAAGTTGTCTAATTACCTAAAGTTTCTTTAGAAAAAAGACTCCAACCTTGAATTTGTACTGTGAGCTATATTTATATCACCATGTTCACTGTTTAATGCACACTGTACTGTTTATGTTGCTGTTTTTATTATGATGTGAAGATGGCATTAGAGACAAGAATGAATGTAAAAAGGCTGAAGACAGTAACGCAGGTAACATCCCATTTGTTGGATGAGTGAATGTAATGTGAGCTGGATCAGTAATGTTGTAGAGTACTTTACAGTCATGCTGCCTACACATCGCTAATGTGTGTAATGACATAAGATGATGTGCAGAATTTTATATGAGCACTGGTGGGAAGCTGATCAACTTGTAAAATCTTCATTAGATTCCCCAGAGAGATGAACAGTACATTACATACAGCGTATGTTCGCTGTCAATCACTAATAGCTCTTCCTCTTCCTGTTCCCCCTCTCTGTTCCTGATTCCTGTGCCTACATCAACAGCCATTCATTTTGCTGTTTCTTCTTTGTTGTATCTCATAGCTTATTTTTTCCTTAAAACCTTTCCTTCCAATCTTCGTTGATTTCATTGTCTGTTTTCTAGCAGCTAGTGAGTCCTAATATCCTCTATCAGCTGTCTCTGCAGAAGCAGGCTCTGGAAAAAGAGTTGGACACTCTGAAGGGGAAACTGAAGTGGACAGATGGACAGCTACAGGAGAGTCTGAAGAAAGAAGCACAGACACAAGCCAAACTGACGGTAACACGCACGAACAGACATGCTAGTGATGGTTCTGAGTCTATTGAGTCAGGGTCTCAATATGTAAAGTATTCATTAGCTGAGCTGCGGATATGTAATGAGTACAATAGATATTTAAACATTTCACTGTGCCATATCTTAGTCTAAGACTTGGATAATAAGTGACAATTTCTTCAATCGTTCAGCTGCATTATATGTTAATAAAGGTGTAGTATTAAAGAGAATTTCACAGGGCTAAAAAGAAGAAGAGTTGTCTGATCTTAATTTCTTATATTGCTTCCCCTGCCCAGCACTTTGGGATGGAATTAACCTTTATATTCCTTCTTATTCCTTATCTGAAAATCCTGCTGCACAAATACAAATGTTCCAGGTGAAGATATTAAAATGAAACTTGGCAGTATTACACACTTTTTTAATGTTGCCAAGCTTCAAAGTGTGATAAATGAGACTCTGGGACTGTGGATGAAACACCTCAGTACAAGATGCAGATGCTTTAACATCAATAGACAAATAGAGATCTGGTCACTCCAGTTCATCTGAACATGTACAACCTTAGTTGAGTTTAATCCCCATGTTGGAGAATTTGATTTTTCTTAATCCACCTCATCTGTATTTTTATCCTCATATAGCAAGCAGTGCGTGAGATGGAGGGTGTTGCAGTGAATCTGGAGCAGAGCAGGAAGAGAGAGCGAGCTCTGGAAGAGGAGGGGAGGAGGCTGGCAGAGGAGCGAGACGACGCCCTCCGTCTCCTCACAGAACTGCAGGGTGAGGACTGAGCTGTGGTTGGGAGAGAGGACTAATCAGTGAGATTTAATTGTCAGGGATGTATACGGATTATAATTTTACTCATGCAGTATGATATGTTATTGAACTAGACTTCTTGTAGAGAGATTTTCTCTTCTCTTTCCTCCCTCCACAGGAAGGTCAGAGGTCAGCAGTTAGTAGGGACTCAGTAACCGTTCTTAAAGGCACTACAGCAGAGCAAATACTGAGTCACACTGGGGCTGGTAATTGTGCCAGTGATTTTATGAGAAAAAGGAATTTTAGACATTCATTATTTAAGTGCTGACTGACATTCATGTGTGCTGTTTGGTACGTGCTTTGTTAATTCCCCTTTAAAGGTCCCTGTGTTGTCCCTTGCTGGTCAGTGATACACCATCCATTTTCCCGAAACAAAATACATTCCAGTAATTCATGTCATAAAAAGACAGCTACGCTGTCATTCTTTACTGCTTCCTCCATTATTTCTTATCGTGTGTGTTTTGTAATAATAAAAAAAAACATTTTATTCTGATGTTTGTATCTTTTTTTGTTTATACTCTAGAGGAAAAAGCTGCACCTCCTCTACAGCCTGTCCAGTTTTGCCCAGTTGTGCAGAGTTACACTCCTCAACCTTCTTACTCTCTTCATTCTCGACCTTCAACTCGCACCAAGACGCCCACCGCTGCCACCCGAGCTGAGTGGAAGGGGGAAGAGGATGTGAATGAGGGAAGGGTAGAGATTGCAGCATCTTACCCCGCTGACAGAGAGCCTGGAGAAGGCATAGACTCTGAACACATCACTGCCCTTATCTCCCAAGACTCTGAGTGCTTACAAAAGGGAGAACACAGAAAAAGAAGTAATGAGAAGAAGAACAAGTGTAGAAATGAGGCAACAGAGTGTGACAGCTCTGGGACAAACAAGCGACCAACATTTGATCATGTACTTTCTATTTCCTCTCACTCTGCTGCTGGTACAGTCATTAACACCTCCGTAGATGGTGATCACTGCAGTTTGATGCTGTCTGGTGAAGAGATATCTTCTCTCAAGTTAGAACAGGCCAACACTGCTGAAGACCTCAAGAGGGAGAATGCCACGCTGCGTTCAGAACTGCATGAGGTGCATGAAGAACTCCAGAAACGCCTTGAGGACCTGGAAGCCCAACGACTGGCTGAGGCAGACACCAGGACCCGGCTCAAACAGCTCAGCTGCAAACATGCCAGCCAGGCTGTGGAGAAAGAGGAGCAGGACAAGAAATTTAGGGTACAGCTGGAGAGTGAGAAGGCTGAGACAGAAAGGTTGAGGAAGGCCATGGCTGCTTTGGAGACAGAGATGAAGAGGGGGAGAGAAGAAAAAGAAAAGGAGAGAGAGGAGCAGCAGGAAGAGAAAAACAAAGCATTAGAAGACAGGGAGAGTGAAATGATAGAACTTAATATCCAGCTGAAGAGGCAGCTAGCAGAGGTAAAAGCCCAGCTGGCTTTGGAGCGAGAAGAGAGAAAGAGAGAAGAAGAGGAGAAGAACCAAATAAACACAGACATGGATATAAAGAAAGAGCTGAGCATAAAGGTGGCAGAACTTAAAGCTGAGTTGGAGGAACTGAAGCAGAGTAGAAAAGAATACTCACTAGAGAAGGTAAACCTCTCACTTGCCAACAGCCCGCTGACTTACCTAACTCTCCATGATGATGAACTCAACTCAAACTTCATCCGGTGTGACAACAAGCTCCTCCCTTTGCCAGAGCAGCAGCACCTCTTATGTCAGTGCACGAACCAACGCAACATGCTTGCATCTCAGGCAACAGCAGAGCTTATCAAGGAACAGCCAACGGTGACAGATCCTGAATGCTCACCTTTGTCAGATGAAGGTCAAACAGGTCAAATGGCCTCTCCCCTGAAGGGGCAGATTGCCCCTCAAAGCAATCTGGGAGGTTCATCCTTGTCAGACTACAGAGAGGCACTTTCTGACCCACAGAAGGGTGAGCTCGCTCCCTCAGACTTGGCAAAAGAGGTGGAGCGTCTGCAGAAGGAGAATGCAAAGGAGAAAGAACATGCTGCCCAATACCAGGTGAAACTGGGAGCACTGCAGACCCAGGTAAACAATGGTGGATTAGTACATCAAATGTTTTCAGTACAACAGTTTCTATTGAGAAGATGCAGAGGAAAATGTTTTTTATTTACTAGCAGTGAGCTCACATTATAGGCAAATATAAAATTTCCAGTGGAGATCCCTACTTCAGTGTACACACTGCACACTTGTGTTCATATGTAACTGCTTAAACTAAGCCACTTAATGATCATACTTTGGATAGAAGAATGTTATTGCTGTGTAGAATATTTAGAATATTTGCTGTGCAATATTTAGTTAATAAATATCAGATTTAAAGAAATATATCTATAGCTACAGTATTTTATGAAAAGTCCTCAGTGCTGCTATACTGTAAAGTACATCTTTTCTGTCCCTTACAAATACCAGTTTTACAGAAGGCAGTCAATTAGAAAATACAGAAGCATACAGTATTGAGGAAAAACAAACACAAAAATGTACACAGATATGTGGGTGTATGCCATCATCACTGCTGTCATTCATTGTCACCAAATCTGAGAAGGCAGTGAGAAAAAAAGCCAGAAACCAGGCGACCAAGTAGAATGATATATTGTATAATAACGGAATAAAAGATCTTATACATTCATCAATATCTACTCCAAGGAGGTAAACCTGCATCCTAATGGAGGCAAATGTAACTCTGAGCATTGGGAATCCAGTAGCTTTTACCTGAGCTGTGTAGCCTTGACTTGCCTGGCAAAGACCTTGAAGAATAAAGGAAGTATAGAACTTAAATAACACTGAAATATATAAGATTCTTTGGTCTGCTTTGTTTTGTGCTGACTGTAGTGGCTTATTACCTGTTTTTATACTCCAAGGTGTGGGGTATGCGGGACCTTGTGTCATCATGCTGGCATCTGTTACTCTGTTAAGCTGTAGGCACATTCCTGTGAACATAACTCAAGAATGATGCATAGTAGAAACATTCATGAGTTAAAATCTTTTTTTAAACTTTTGTTAGCATTCCTGATGACAAACTACTGGTATTGTTTTAGTATGTATTCCACAGTCATGGAGATCAGGATGAGCCATGCAGCAATTCACTGCCTGTGGTTCTTCAATATTCTCTGTTTTGCTTAGGCCTTAACTCTTTACTCTGTTCTCAGGTGACACGTCAGACCCAGCAACTAACAATTGCCTTTGAGAAGCAGAGCCAGCACATCTCAGGCCTTCTAGCTGAACTGCAAGAGAAGGAAAGTGCCCTCCTCAGCCAGGGAGAGGAACTGCAGTACCTTAAGCGAGAGTTGGAGGCACTCAAGACCACAAACGAGCGAGAAGAGAGGAAAAGAACAGAGGAGACGACAGTCAAAGAGGAGGAGAGTGACAAACATAAGGAAGAGACTCGAGATGATAGGTTGGAGGGGATATCAGGTCTTCAGCCAAACCAGGCAGAGGATTGTGCTGTCTCACAGACAGATTGTGACTCTAATCCACAGACTAATGCAGATCAACCAAAGTTTGTGACATCTGATGCTGAAACACCCGTTAGCATGGAGGTAGACAATGAAACAGTATTGATAGGGGAAGAGCACCTAGGCTCTGACAAGACTCGGAGTATCCATGACTCTCCTCGTGTGATGGGAGAGTCTAAGTGCAATCAAGATGGAGGAACCGCAGATGTAGTTGCAGAGCTGCTCACTCTCCAGCAGGAGAATCAGCTGCTTAAACAAAAAATAGAGGCCTTAACAGTCTCAGACTCCAGAAATCCAGCACTACAGACTGACAGTGAAATCCCAGAAGTATCAGTCAAGCAAAGCCAAAACACAGGAAATGGTCCTCTGTCTTCTTTGACAGAGCAGAGGACACCTAGTGTGCTGAATGACCTCATAACTGAGGAACAGGAGTACCTACAGCAGAATGAGGGGAGGATGGAAGATGGAGTTTTAGAAAGGGCAGATAAAAAGACAGCAAAGGCTGAAGAAGAACTGGTGGAAGTGTCTCAGCTTAGGATCAACCACCTAGAGCAACAGGTAGTGACAGTGTATTATGTCGTTGTATCACAGCAGTGGTGTGACATGTCATGCTGAAGAAGAGTGACAAAAATGTTAGTCACATAGAGATAAACATGAAGTATATAATGGAGTTTGCAATGTAGGTGTTGTTAGTCTTCACAAGGAAACTGAATTCACATCCTACTTTTACAGTTGAAGTCAGATGTTTACATACACCTTAGCCAAATATATTTAAACTTAGGTTTTCACAACTCCTGACATTTAATCCTATAAATATTCCCTGTCTTAGGACAGTTAGGATCACTATGTTAAGAAAGTGAAATGTCAGAATAATAGTACAGAAAGATTTATTTGAGCTTTTACTTCAACGCTACTTTGGTAGCGTTGCCTTTAAATTGTTTAACTTGGGTCGAACATTTCAGGATACCTTCCACAAGCTCCCTACAATAAGTTGCTGGAATTGTAGCCCACTCCTCCTGACAGAACTGGTGGAATGGAGTCAGGTTTGTAGGCCTCCTTGCTCGCACATGCTTTATCAGTTCCGCCCACAAATGTTTTATTGGATTGAGGTCAGGGCTTTGTGATGGCCACTCCAATACCTTGGCTTAGTTGTCCTTAAGCCATTTTGCCACAGCTGTGGAAGTCTGCTTGGGGTCATTGTCCATTTGGAAAACCCATTTGAGACCAAGCTTTAAATTTTTGTTTCACCAGACCAGAGGACATTTCTCTAATAATAATAATAGTAATAAGATCTTTCTCTTCATGTGCGGCTGCAAACCATAGTCGGCCTTTTTTATGTCTGTCTTGGAGCAGTGTCTTCTTCCTTGCCAAGCAGCCTTTCAGGTTATGTCGATATAGGACTTGTTTTTCTGTGCATATAGACACTTTGGTACCTGTTTTCTCCAGTGTCTTCACAAGATCCTTTGCTGTTGTTCTGGGATTGATTTGTACTCTTTGGACCAAAGTACATTCATCTCTAGGAGACAGAATGTGTCTCCTCCCTGAGCAGTATGATTGCTGCGTTGTCCCATGGTGTTTATACCACGTGGGCCACGAAAAAGTAGCCCGGCTCCAAAACAGTCCACTTGCTTGTTCATACTATCACCGGAGGCGGGCTGCTTTTCTGTCGCCCACCCTGTACTCGCGTAGTATTGTTTGTACAGATGAACATGGTACCTTCAGCTCTTTGGAAATTGCTCCCAAGGATGAACCAGACTTGTGGAGGTCCACAATTGTTTTCTGAGGTCTTGGCTGATTTCTTTTGATTTTCCCATGAAAATACATCCACAGTTCCACATCCACACACCCATTTCCTGTTAACTCGGACGATGTCATTTAGCCTATCAGAAGCTTCTAAAGCCATGACATAATTTTCTGGAATTTTCCAAGCTGTTTAAAGGCACAGTCAACAGAGTGTATGTAAACTTCTGACCCACTGGAATTGTGATATAGGGAATTATAAGTGGAAAAAAATCTATCTGTAAACAACTGTTGGAAAAGTTACTTGTGTGATGCAAGTACATGTCCTAACCGACTTGCCAAAATGAGGGTTTGTTAACATGGCATCTATGGAGTGGTTAAAAAATCAGTTTTACTGACTTCAGCCTAAGTGTATGTAAGCTTCTTACTTCAACTGTAAATCGATATATGTGAAATATACCACATCGGAAAAAAAAATATTCTACCAAATGTTCTATAAGCTATATGTATTCCAGATTCAGAATTCAAGATTATTGTGTGGCGACTGACTTGTGTTTTACTCATGTATCTTTCCTAAGTGAGTTTTATTTCAAATGTCTGTTTCATTCAGTCTATCTTGTCTTTTTCCTCCTGTCCAGGTGGCGGCACTGCAAAAGAAGGTATGGGCTCTCTCTGAGGAGACCAAGCAGCAGTCTGAGGAGCTTGGTGTGTGGAGACTGGCCTCCCAACCTGCCCCAACATTTGACCACATCCTTCCCTATACAGATAACCAGTCCAAGGCCCAGGAACAGGTCTCTGCGTTCAAACAGTTCCAGTCAAACCAACAGCACACAGGTGACATGAATCCCACCCTGGCAGGTTCTCACGGTCAGGCTCAGGCTATAACTGCCCAGGTTCATGCGTCCACATCGGGTCCACAGGAGAGCCTTGGTAATGTGACAATCGTCAGAGAGGATGAGTTATTCCTCTCCTGCTCCTCCAACAAACTGCAGGGCCACATGCTGTTCTCCAGGTATGCCAACAACTTAGAAGCTACTATTACTGTGTTAAATGCATATATGTGAGGTGATTCTGTGTATTTGTATTATTTAATGTATGTCTACATACAGTCTTCTGTTGTCTTCCTGTGCATATGCTTGGAATAAAAATAAATTAAAAAATTCTGTTTACCCTAAGGCTGCAGCACAGCTGCCTTCCTGAACCAAAGACTCTCCATCGCTCTAAAAAGATGTCTGCACTTAATGAATACAATCAGGACACTGCCAAGATTGACAAGGTGATTTTCTTTTCTTTTAATCATTACTTACATACTACCCCATATTAATTTTAGGCTCATTCGTATCAAATTTTCCTATAATATTTTAATAGAAATCCTTTAACTATATAAATGCAGTCCAATTTCATAGTTTCCCATTAGGTTTCTTGGAAAGAGCTCTGTAATTAGGTGCAAATTGTAGGGCAAATAACACTGGGTTTAAATTGGTAAGGACCTGTAAAGTAAAGCATTTCCAAGGTCACTTGTCTGTCCCTAGTACTTGTCTTCTCTAGTTAAAAACTTACTAGTTTTCAGCTTTGACTTATTTGTTCACATATTGGATTAAGGATTAGGCCTTTAATTGCTGTGTTTTGTTTCTTAACACAGGAATCTGAAAAAGAAAACCAGGACATCAGTTTTGTACAATGGTCACATGCGTGTCCATCACAGTACAAAGAGAAGAGAGACACTGAACTCATCCCATCATTAGATAAAATGGGTCAGGAATATGTTACCAAAGATCTTCATGAAGTCTCAGGACCAAATGAAACCAAAGCAACAGAATCAAATCCTCAGGCCAATCCAAACCCTTCTAGATCATCCAGTCAAATAAACACAGATTTTAGGATGGAAATGAAAAGTGCGAGCAGTCAAACAGAGGAGAGTTTTTATCTTCACAGTGTTCCAGCAGCACATGAACTCCACAGTGCATACACACAGACGGAGGAGCATGAAGAAGGTGAAGAATTAGTGGATTTCTGTCCTGCCCCACTGTCTGAGGAGGCAGAGTCAGGAGACAAAATGTTGTTTTCAGGTTCCTTCCCTATCCCAGCCGACCCAGCCCGTCTGGCTGAAAGAATACGCCGTAACAGGACGCAGCTGTCAGCTGCCTTTGATGACACAGAGTATGAACCCTATGGGCTGCCGGAAGTTGTCATGAAAGGTAACTTCATTAGCTTGAACACTGACTTTCTAAAACGTCAGGCTTGAGTAATTTTAGGTTTGTGTACAATTGCATAAATGCACAATCAATACAAAGTCACATTGGTGATTGTTTGATTCTCACATTTTCTGTACAAAGAAGCATCAGACTTGCAGACTAGGTCCTCTGTTGGCTAAATGTGCTTAAGGGAAAATTAAAAAAAAATGTGTATCTTATTCTTTACAAAGTATCCTCAAACAACTTGGGACATGTTTGAAGGTACATATTTTATGCCTCCATGCCGGTGACATATGAGTGTGAACAGACGTGTGTAAACTGCAACTTGTATGGTCTGGGGAAGCTTGCAACCGTGAGGTGGTAATTCTAGTTCACTTTTGATTAGACCTAGACTTGTAGTTTCCCTCTCCTTCCAGACTTGGTGCTAGGATGTTCAACAAAAACAAGTGTTGAATTATAATTTGGTTGTGTATCAGTAATGTAGTTCATGAAAGTGGTGTTTGAAATTGAGAATCCTGGTCATGCCTTTCAGACCTGCACTGCTTCTTCTCTTCATTTCTTTATATTTTTGTGCTTTCATTTTCTGTCCTTCAACTACTGTCCTCTGATCCTTTTACTTATTCCGGTCTCCACATCTTCCCATCCTGCAGGTTTTGCCGATATCCCCAGTGGTCCTTCATGTCCCTACATTGTAAGAAGAGGGTTGTTAGGGACAACTATTGTACCTGTCCCTCAGAAAGACCAAGGACAGGAGGAGGAGACTGATTAAAATGCAGCTACAGGTAACCTCCAGAGACCAAACACTGAGAAAAGTGCCCAAGATTTGATGTCCCAAGAACAATATATTCAAAAAGTGTATTGGTGATATGTTAACTTGACATACATTTTCTGAATATAGGGTTTTATGCTTCAATATGACATCACCAGGTTGTATAAAGAGTCTGAGATATTGAAACGTATTAACACACACAATAACACAATGAGCCTAGCAGTAATTGGACTAATTTAATTTAGACAACCCAATTGTTTTTTGAGGCAAATCATGTAGTTTACCTATTAAATAAAAAAGGACGGTTCCTTTTGCAGTTTCTCTCGGCCAGTTTGTGGCACAGTCACAGGCTCATTCCTTCCCATGTAAATCTTCAAAGATTCATTTAAAAAAAAGCTAAATTTCCTCAAACAGCGGGGCAGTACAGTTTTTAGCAAAGTTACTCAAATAGGAGTAGTAGGAGAGCAGTCAAGGTGGAACTCTTCTCGGCGCCAGATTTGGAGCAGTAGTGAATGACAGCATGATGGTCAGTCTGGGATTGACTCAAACCACAGTACTGATTGGAGCTGAAACTAAGCAAATTAATCACTTTATGAAATAATCAGCTGTTTTGAGAGTTGAATAATTGTCATTTTTAAGGCAGCGAAACAATGCAGATCACTGACTGGTTGTAGCTTCTCCAGTTTTTTTAATTCATTTATTTATTTTTTACCATTTCTGACATTTAGACAAAATAACTGAGCAAACAGTTGGCATATTAACTGGTAATGAAAACTGCTGTATCCTTTGCATAGGATTTGTGGACAATAAGAAAAATGTAAAATATCGCTAGATTGATCCTCCAGAAAAAACATTTTTATATAAAGTTATTATTTTTGGAAGAGTTTTATATTTCCTTTGGTTAAGCTTTTGATGGTCTTACATTTGCATGTTTTGCATGCTGGTTGTCTACAGATTTGGTGGAAGGAAGGAACTGAGCACTGTGGCCTGATAGTGAACCTCAGTGATGGACGACAGCAGCTCTACAGGGGAACGCCACTACTGGGCCAGTGCTGGCAGAATAAATGTCTCCACTGTGGATCTAAAATGTCTTAATGGTCACTAGTTTATCCTGTAATTGCTGTGTGGAGAGTTTGCTGTGTATCACAATACAGTGACTTTACACCCACCTATTTATATATTTAGGTGCAGAGGTGGTGATTTGGTGATGTTTGTTGGTACTTCTTGAAGTTAAAAACCACTTTTCCAAAGGGACTGTCTAGCTTTTAGTAACTCAGAGTTAAGTTATAGGTCTAGCTTTAGTCTACTTGAATGAAATGGTGCCTAGGTGACAGTTTTTTAAACAGATGCTTGTCAAGATAAGTTTGACTTGTTTTCCAAAAGGATGAAGCCAACAGAAGCCTGTTGTGAAAATGTGGTGCATACATTTTTCTGTTTAGGTCTCGTGGTGGCTTATATATGGACTCTTGAATATGTTTTAGTAGAGGACAGGTGTTTACAGAAATTGTGTGAAAGCATAGTGCATGTGTGGGACTCATTAAATGTTACCATTTGTGTGTGGGAGAGAGAGAGAGGGGGCAAGCATGTTGATGACTCAGTCTAACTTGGGTCGGTTTCCGCTCCATGTATGGTGATGCACAGTGCACTCCCTCTGTCCTACTGCTTTGCTCCTCTGTCTTAATGAGCAGCCAGTAGCTCCTCGATTAACGTCACAAAACCCAAATGTGTATTTACTCTATTTAATTACAGATGTATTTAGCCTGTTTCTTTGACTTGATTAGATATAATTTATTTGATTGTTACTGTGCCATAGACAACAGTAGCCCATGTGTGTGCACACTGTAGAGGTTGGTTTTTATTGTGCCCTATAACAGTGGGTCTCACCACTTTGGTCACTTACAAAGTTCAACTGGTCATCAAAAAAAAAAAAAAAAGGTTTGTACTTTTTAAGTTCTGGTCGGCTCTGACGGTGTTACTGGTCATTGTAATTGCAGCCATTTTTAAAGCCTTGTGTGACCAGACACGTCTAGTGAGTGTCTCTCTATGTTTCTCTAGACAGTGAACATACTGAGCTGCAGTGGACAAATAGGAACAAAAATAGGTCATTTAATACTCACATGACTGTAACATTGGACTTAGACTGCTGAAGATTCACAGTAGCTTCAGTGGGTTAAGTTTGCCCCCCATTAGTTAGACTGAAACTGCTTTAAGAAAGGTTGTCTTTGCAGCCTGTATGAACAGGTGGAAAAGATTAAAGCGAGCATTAATTCTTTCAATGTACATGTCAGCATTGTAACTAGTGTTTGAAGGAGCACTGGAGAAGATATGAACCTGTCCTTTTAAAGCCTTGTTGTGATTTTGTTTTGTTTCTTTAGATTGACATTTTATTTAGATGTAGAGTCGTTCTGTCCCGGCTTTGTCCTGTTGACTCAGTCATAACAGTGGACTGTTACTGCCATGTTGGCACCAACACACACACACTCCCCCTCCCTTTCAGTTTCCTCATATCTCTGAGATCTGTAGTCTATTGGCAGTGAGGTGGGGCTGTCAGACTCTGACCTGGGAATCCTGTTGCCTCTTGTTGCCTTATTTTGGACACTTTCATGTGAATGTACTGTGTGTTGTTTGCAGTTAGAATAAAATGCTGCTTTTTAATTTAACTATTGTCTCTCTTTTGGATTCAACTACATGTATCTTTGAGCGTTTTTGAATTGAGATGTCGGGCTGTGTTCTTTGCATTCCATGGTAAGCCAGTCTGTTGGACCACTCAGCTTTGTGAGTTTTTTGTTGTTACTGCTGGCATGTAGTGATTAATTCTAAATGTTCCAATGACGAGAGCCCCAAAGTGTTTAACTTGAACATCTTCATTAAATCACAGGTATTTACACCATTACCAAGGTCCTCTTCTTTAGCCTCTTGGTCATGAAGATGCTAAAAGTTTTCAAGGAACAGACTTGGATCAAAGAATTACAAAGTCAGTGCAGGAGTTACTGTTTTATTTCATGATGCATTTCCTCTTCAAGTGCAAGAAAAGTTGTTAGTCATAACTCTGTTGTTGAAGAAACAAGTGTTTCTTTTTACTTCCCAAAAAAAACAGAAATTGGAAAGGTGAGGGAATTAGAGAGCTAAACCCTCCTACATCCAGCTCAGGAAACTTCAGGCCCTCTGCTCTTCCTCTGCAGTGACGGCACTTAATCACTCTCGCAGTGCTGTAATGGACTTCACATAAACTCGCACGCCTCAGCCTCGTCCATTCTCCTCCTCTGATCTGCTCTCCTCTGTCAGAGTAATACAGTGTCACAGGAATGGGGAAACACCTTCCAAGGAGAAAACACACATGCACTTTCACTACACACACACACACACACACACACACACACACACACAGCTGACTGCTGAATGGTGAGAGAAAGGCACTCTGCATGAGGCAAACCTGGAAAGCAACATTTCTCCAAGGTAAGACATGCATTTTTTTTGGCAGTTGTTGTCTTGGGGCACTTTGTGTTATATGATCAGTATTTTTGTATCGATTCTGTTTGTTTTTACTTTGAAATGAGAATTATTTAAAATTGTTTTTAGGGTTAGTTTGCATGTGTAGCACTAAGGCCTTTCCATTTTTTACTTTTTAACTTAGGGTTACCAAGTATAGTAGCCGACTGTCAAAGTGATTTAAAGAAGAAGATCAATTCCCTGCTCCAACATTCCTGCCCATATATATTCTCTCAGCCCTAATGCTACAAACACAGTAATTTCAGTGCAAAATTTAGAGAGTAACTCAGTTTACAACTGTATGCATCTGTGTTGCTGCGAGCACCGCTAGTGCAATTGATAAACATTTCATTGTAACTATTCGTCTTCGATTATGTAGCCTCACATCAATGTGCCAGTTTATCTTGTTCTGTGCTACTTCTGTAGCCCAAAACAGTCCTGTCATTATTTTTGAGGATCATTCTTTCCGAGAGTGAAACCGGAGAACCAGAGTTGTAACCTATGATCTCCTTCTGACGTCAGTGTTGGCCCACTGAAAAGGGGTCAAATACTCTGGGGAGTGATTACTTCTAGAGTAGCTAAATTTTTTTGTCACTGCACTGAAAATTACTCAGTAGATACATATCAGATACTGTCAGATTCTTCTCTGGGGGTTTGTCGGTAGAGATAGTGGGGAGTAAATCATTGTTTCCCTGATTCACATATTTAACTGCAATACAACAGAAACAACAGAGCCACGTTGATTTGAGTTTTATAAACTCCAGTTCTCTGTTAATATAATAGTAACAGCAAAATAATTTTTTTCCGACTGTATAAAGTAAAAAGTGTGACCTCCTATTAACAAATTATTATGTAACTCCAGTAACAGAAACCTAAACAAGCTTGTTTTGGATTTGGTAGTGCTGCATATCAACAACATCAAGCACAGATATAGATGATCCATTGTATTTAACCATGTTTTGGGAAAGAAGTGTCATTTTCTCTATCAGAAACATGTCATCAGTTCATAATCATGTTCTTCAGCAATTCTTATAAAATTAGGAAAAATCATTTTAAAGCAGATAATTCAGTGTTAAAGATTCCCTGACATGCAAATACTCCACAAATATTTCAGTTTCCTATTTCTTATACCACATTAAAAAATATCAAATCTATGAACGGTCTCCTACTTAAGTCTAGTCTCAATGAACACTCAACACAGTAATCAGTTTATTAGGTACGCCTAACTAAAACTATTTCAGTCTAATGTAACAGTTCAGTAGTAAATCCTCCATGATTAGTGCAGCGCTGCATTATACACAGATGTGTTCCTCTTATTTAGCCCCATTGATCTAAATAGGCTGGACAAAATCACACAAATCCCTCTCTGTATAATGTGGTACAGGTCATCAGCACCATAAATTACAATGATCTCACAGGTGAAGCAACACCTCTCTAATAGTTTGAATTAAAGCTTTCACTTTCATGACAGAGGATTTATTGCAGGACTGTTGTATTAAACTGCATTCGTTTTAGCTAGGTGTACCCAATAAACTGACAGCTGTGTCTGTTTGCACTGGAAGTTTCTAGTTTGCACAACACACAGTGTGTTTTCTGAGCTGTTAAAAGGGGCCCAGACTTGTGTCATACCCCTGGTACTCTGCAGAGAGAACCAGGAGGAGGAGGGGACCTTGCGGTTCATCTCAGTTTGGTCAGACTTGTATTACATCCATCCATCCATCCATCTTCCTCCGCTTATCCAGGACCGGGTTGCGGGGGCAGCAGTCTAAGCAAAGGCTTGGCTGCCCTGCGGAGAAACCTCATTTTGGCCGCCTGTATCTGGGATCTTCCCCTTTCGGTCATGACCCAAAGTTGACCATAGGTGAGAGTCGGAACATAGATTGACCAGTAAATCGATAGCTTGGCCTCACAGCTCAGCTACTTCTTCACCATGATGGACCGGTACATCGACATTACTGCAGAAGCTGCACCGATCCGCCTGTTAATCTCCCATTCCATCCTTCCCTCACTCGTGAACAAGACCCCAAGATACTTGAACTCCTCCACTTGAGGCAGGAACTCTCCACCAACCTGAAGGGAACAAGCCACCCTTTTCCGACTGAGAACCATGGCCTCGGATTTGGAGGTGCTGATTCTCATCCCAGCCGCTTCACACTCGGCTGCAAACCGCCCCAGTGCATGCTGGAGGTCCTGGTTTGATGGGGCCAACAGGACAACGTCATCTGCAAAAAGCAGAGACGAGATCCTGTGGTCCCCAAACCGGACTCCCTCCGGCCCCTGGCTGCGCCTAGAAATTCTGTCCATAAAAATAATGAACAGAACCGGTGACAAAGGGCAGCCCTGCCGGAGTCCAACATGCACTGGAAACAAGTCTGACTTACTACCGGCGATGCGAACCAAGCTCCTGCTCCAGTCATACAGGGACC